GGTTTTTTAACCTAAATTGAATTATTTAGTATAAAATCATCAATGCTTTGTCTTTTACATTTAAAATGAATACACAACTTCACAACCTTGTAACAAATGGTAAACCTTATTTTCAGTGGCATGTTTCTCTTTCTCCACTTTGGCCAACGTGAGCTCCAAGTCATCAATGTCTTTCTTTAGCTCAGAGCATTCATCCTCCAGTTTTCTCTTTTTGGCAGTCAGCTCAGCATTGAACTCCTCCTCATCCTCCAACCTCTCAGTTGTCTCTTTGAGTTTGGCTTCCATCTGGATCTTACTCTTGATGAGTCCCTCACATCTTTCCTCAGCATCAGAGAGAGTATTCTCTTCCTACAGCAGATAAAATATAAATGAAACAACACTGGAAATCAAAGGCCAATAAAATGACATAAAAAATAATTGTATTAAACAAGCAATTTCTTAACTTACAGATGCTATCTGTAGCTGCAGGTCATTATTTTCCTGCTGCAGAGAAACCATTTTCTCCTCAAGCCCTTTTATCTTGGCCAAGGCCTTTGCCAGATCCTCCTTCATTTTCTCAAAGTTTTCCTTCATTGCGGCCATCTCTTTTTCAGTTTCTGCTGATTTTAAAAGAGGCTTGATCTTGAAGTACAGCTTCATCCATGGCCAGTGTTTGACATTCATAAAAGAGCGGATGTTGTATTGGATGGAGTAAATTGCTTCTCTGTTAATAATAAACATTAAAACAAATAGTTTTGGGGGGATTCTCTTCACTGGCTCAATATAACGTACTCTATAACAGTGTTTCTGAATCCTGGTCCTGGGGACCCCAAGGGGTGCACATTTTGTTTTTTACCCTAGCACTTCACACCTGATTGCATTAATTAACTCATCATCAAACATTTGATAAGTGGAATCAGGTGTGTAGTACTAGGGCAAAAACTAAAATGTGCACCCCTTTGAGTCCCCAGGACCAGGGTTAAAAAACACTGTTCTGTAAAATAGTGTAGCTACCGTCTCGCCATCATCTTGACAAACTCTTTCCTCATGACGTAGCCTCTGCAGAGAGCCTGAGTCATGGTCACCAGAGTAACCAGTTTCTCATCTCGCATCTCCTCCAGAGTACCCAACAGACCAGCTTTGAAGAACACCTACAGGAATATTGATCTTCATTATATTTATAGAAGATACAGAGCTACAATTATTTTCAATTAAGCTCAATGTTTGTGGTTTTTGTGGGAAAAGTGATGCTGCAGTCTATTGCTCTACCTTGGTGTGCCCAAACTTGTACTGACTCTTGTCCACATCTATTGATCCCAGGAGCTTCTCTGAAGCCTTCTTGTTGTCAATAAATTGTCCATCAGGGATGACACTTGCATTCAATACTTTGTATCTGACATGATGATTAAGGGGGATAAAATATATATATACAATACAAAATACATTAGTATGTGATGTGATCATGCCTGTGAAAGAAGTACTTTAAAATCTTTTTGGCATTTTCCCTCACTGAACATTAATTACCTCTGCTTGAAGTCACCATATTGGATTCTGCTGGGGAAGCCCTTTCTGCAGATTCTGATGCCTTCCAGTACACCATTACACCTCAGCTGGTGGATGACCAGGAAGTTCTCCATCAGACCTTAACCATAGGGAAAACATTGTATTAAACTCCTTGACATATACTAAAACATCTAGGGATTTTACATGCTTATTTTAAAGAAGATTATTTATGCTTGGCATTAAAGATGTCTGTTGTATTGTTAATCTCACAGTACACACCTGGTGTCTTTGATTCATTCGGAATCAAACATCGCACAAAGTGAGGATGGGTGCTCCTCAAGTTGGTCATCAGCTTGCCCAAATTCTCCTGTGGGATTGGAAAATGTGTAAATTGGGAATGAGATTCTGTAATAAACAAAGTTGTGTTTGACACCTTTGATTAAAGCCACATTCTGTAAGATGTCCAGTCATTTCAATTAATAAAATATACCCATGGATTTGGAAGAATATTAATTATGAATAGAGATGATATACAACTGTTTTACCTTATCATAACCCAAAAAACGAAATACCAATGATAGCTACCTATTAGCCCCCCACGTTACACCTTATTACATCATAATAAAGGATAATACGAATGTAGATACCCTGAACAGAGCCGACACAGTCTGGAAGGAACCACCCTTCTTCTTCTTGCCTCCGCCTCCTTTTGCAGCATCTGTTTACAAATGTGTTAGGCCAGTTATTTTCTCATCCCAATTACATTTGTACATATTGTCACTGCCTGAAAACGAATATTGACTCATGTACATTATATACAGTGGGTCAATCTAAAGAATACTGTATTGAATATGTATATAATCATATATAAATCTAGTATACTGACATTTCCAGTAATACTAATGCTATTTAACTCAAATGACCACTTCAAACGCAATGCTTTATAACCATAAACTATATAACAAGGGAAGGGGTAGATATAGTCTCCTCCTGTAGTATGAGAAATTCAGGATACTATGGGATGTACCGTCTGCTTGTGAAGCTGCTGCTCCTACATACAGCAAAGCCAACAGTTTGACTGAGGACTTCTGGTAGAGCTGCACAACAGAGTCGTTCAGGGGGTCCTTGTTCTTGTCCAGCCAGCCTGTGACACTGTATTCCACAGTGCCAGCATAGTGCACCAGGGCAAAGTGGGCCTCAGCCTTGCCTTTTCCAGGTTTAGGCTTCTCAAAAGCTTTGTTTTTACCAAGATGCTGGTCATACAGCTTGTTCTTGAAGGTAGTGTCTGAAGCCTTGGGGAACATGCACTCCTCTTCAAGGATGGAGAAGATGCCCATTGGCTGTTGGTGACAAGACGATGTGAAATATTAAACTGATAAGCAGACATGTCTGTTATTGTATTGTCTGCTTTTTTAAGATCTCACCTACCTTCTCAATAAGCTCAATGCAGGCAGCCAAGTCCATACCAAAGTCAATGAACTCCCATTCAATTCCCTCTTTCTTGTACTCCTCTTGCTCCAGTACAAACATGTGGTGGTTGAAAAACTGTTGCAGTTTCTCATTGGTGAAGTTGATACAAAGTTGCTCCAAGCTGTTGTACTAATGTTCAAATACAGAAACATTGAAAGTCAAGAGTTACCCAACATGACTGCTAGTTCATATTTTCATCAGCATATATTGTACAAGCATAATGTCTACTCTTGGTTATTGTAATTTGTTTAAGCAGAAGGATGAGCTGAACAGCAACGTGCTGAATTTAAGATATACAAATACTCACATCAAAGATCTCAAATCCAGCAATGTCCAAAACACCAATGAAGAATTGTCTAGCCTGCTTTGTGTCCAACATCTCATTGATACGGACGACCATCCACAAGAACATTTTCTCATAGACAGATTTACAGAGGGCCATAGTTGAATTGTTCACCTATAGAAAAAAGGTAATAATAATATTCACATTCATTTTACCTTTTGCAAATCTACTACAATTGAAAATAGTCTAAAAGATTCTACCTGTGGCACAGTCTGCCCCTTGGTCACCATCTCATTCCCGACCTTCACTCTGGGGTAGCACAGAGCTTTGAGCAAGTCAGCAGAGTTCAGGCCCATGAGGTAGGATATTTTATCAGCCTCTGGTTGGGAGAGAAAATGTAACATGCACGTTAAACATTAGGCTATATTTTGTTGGTACATTGCTTAAACCTGTAAATTAAGCTGTATAAAGTAGGCTGGAAGAAACTTGATAATTAACCTTGACCATTTCAAAGTACATTACAGTTGATATTGCAAGAGACAAGGTAGGCTAGTTGCCCATTGAGAAATTATATAAATAAAAAAGGTTGCATTCTGATAGTTACCCTCAGTGCCATCAGGCTCTGCCTGCTCCTCACGCTGCTTCTGCTTGAACTTCATTGCCCCATGATGCATCACAGAACCAGTCAGCTTGTAGATGCCTATCTTCTCCTCAGCAGTGAAGCCCAAAATGTCTATGGCCATCTATGGAGAATTAAAGCATGTTTGATTTATGCTTTCTTTAAATGTTTTTTGTGGATTATTTACCCAGTTTTCAGTAACACAATGACAGAGATTGTTAAAATGTTCTCTGGAAATGTTTTAGGGAATATTGCTTTGTTAAGATATAAGCTACAATATCAGTTAACATGTTTTCGAAGGCATACCAACACGATACAAGTTGCTTTTGAATAGCTTTTTAGACGTTTTCACATTCTGTAGAGAAACCTTGGCTTTCAAGATCATACAATTATATTTTTCCTACATTGTTGTAATTTGTTTTACTTACATCAGTGGCGATGAACTCCTCTGTATCATCAATACTCTTGACAGCGATTTCACCCTGACTTATCATAGGATAGTCATAGGGGTTGGTGGTGATCAGAAGTGCCTCTGAAATACATACAAAAGTTTGAAAACATACAGTATTTAGCACAGTTACAATTACTGTATGTATAATGTATGTACTGTTGGCCCTATGCATTCCATGTCAGATTTCTATATTTGTCTCTCACCCAGCAATTGTGGCTGGTGTCCAGTCATGAGCTGATAGAAGATGTGGTAGCTTCTCTCAGCAGACAGCTGGAATGTTACTCTGGACTTCTCCAGTAGATCTGTAGAGTAGGTTTTTGTATGAGCAGGAGTCTTTTTCATGTGTGAATCACAATTGGATAAAGATACACTGATCAGGAGGCACTTACATGTTTCAATATCAGCAGAGGCCAACTTTCCAGTTGTTCCAAAATGGATTCTGATGAACTTACCCTAAAAGGTTCATTAGATATCCATCAGTATATTACCCTTCAAAACCAAGAAAGCTCACAAATGCAAAAAATCATTTTTATACTTACAAAGCGTGAGGAGTTGTCATTTCTCACGGTCTTTGCATTACCATAGGCCTCCAGTAGGGGGTTAGCTGCAATGATTTGATCCTCCAGCGACCCCTAGAGATGTCATCACATTTAGTCATGTTTTGAAGATGCGTACATACTGGATCTTTGATTCATACAACCCCCCTAAACTAGATCTGTAAGGCTACAGTAATGTTTCTGACCTTTATTTTCCCAGAAGTAGCAGCTGCTGCTTGTTCTTTCTTGCCTCCAGCCACTGCGATTGTCGCAAAGTACTGGATGACACGCTTGGTATTCACAGTCTTTCCTGCACCGGATTCTCCACTGGGAGTATACACAGATTAGTTTTACTCTTATCGGTCATCTTTGTTTCAATAATCTCAGTAAGAGCACTTTATCTACTAAACTGCAATGCTACTGAACATCCATCAGGGAGCTAGTTGTAAAGTTAGTTATTCAACAATATTCTTACCCACATTTAGTCATTGATTTGGACTTACGTGATCAGAATTGACTGGTTCTCATGGTCTGAAAATGGAAAGGTAAGTGCAAATCAGTTTCAGAGTTATTCTATAATTCTGTACAGTAAATTGTTGTTGTAGTAGCATGGGTATTTGTGTACCAGTGAGCATGAATTGATATGCATTATCAGAGATGGAGAAGATGTGGGGTGGGGCCTCAATTCTCTTTTTTCCTCTATAAGCATTCACAACCACAGAGTCGTACACTGGGAGCCACTTGTAGGGGTTCACCGTGACGCAGAACAGCCCAGAGTAGGTCTGTAACAGAGGAGAATATTTATCAACTCTTCATTGATTCATGTATTTACTGCTAGATAATCTTTTACTTTAAACTCACATAGATCATCCATGCTGCGTAACGCTCTTTGAGGTTATACAGAACAGTGGGCTCGTTGAGGTGGGTCATCATGGCCATGTCCTCGATTTTATCGTACTTTGGAGGGTTCATGGGGTGGATATCGTCCTCCTTTACAGTGAGGACCTGTGACAGGAATAAATTAGATTAAGGTTTTAACTCATATCACAGTTTTTAGCTTAGAAAACAGCATAGCCATCACTGCAATACAATTTGATTTGATTTGCATTACAGTATATCAATAAAATATTTACTTACTTTGTTACACAGAGTTTTGACAGTGGCTTTGCCACCCTCTTTACTCTGGAGAACCCCTTTGAGGTACATCTCTTTGGGCTCAACCACAAAGAAAGCTGTTTTGGCATCAAAGGGAGCGGTCTGGGCTTCAAGCCTCTCCCTTTCCGGCTTTCGGAGGTAGATGGCCGCCGGGCCAAATGCCGCCATCTCTGCATCTGTGCTCATGATTGCCCTGTGCCAAGAAAAGACAGGGCTATTTTATCTACAATGACAAATACCAATGCTAATCATTATCTTCCACAAACATTTGATCAGTAAGAATCTGAATGATGTTTAGATCCTGGTGATGAAGCCACATGTTCTTACTTACACAAAATGTATCTGAAAATCTTTACTGTAATGAACCCTGATCTTTAGGGTTCATTATGATTTTCAGCTGAATATAGAAATCATGAAATGGAGATACATAGTGATGCTGTCCAACTTTCCTTCCATTTTCAGGGGAGAAACTGTTTCCCTAACATAGCTTGGAGTCATGAATTAATTTTATACCATTTTCATTTTCATTTCCATCATCAAGATCCAGTTAAGCATATTCCTTTAACTTATCTTGGTAAAGGCTATAGTTTGTGTTAAACAATGTAAGTGCTCCCCACTCAATGTTTCCCCATACTAACATTGTACGTGCCAGATACAGTTAACACAATTTACCTATTTTTATGCCCAAGTTCGTAGGATGTTGTTGTGACCAAGTTGGAAAGATGTTGATACTTGAAAAGAAAGAGTTTTCAATACACACATATTATATGTACACAACTGAAACTAGTACAAAATGAATCATCTGTGATTGTAGGAGTATGTTTTTTCAATAAGTAAACCAGACATAAATGTACCTCTAAATGAACAAATAAGCATATATTTGGCCACTGTTAAATCATTGTGAGAGCTGTGGCACTTACTCACCTTTGCTGGGGGGCCTTCAGTCTAAGAGGGGTCTTCGATGGCTTCTTTTATAGAGAGATGTGTGTTCACTCAGCAGAGGCAGCCCTCCCTTTTGGGACATGTACTTTTTCTTTATTTGGTCATGTACGTCTACCCCTTCTCACTTCAGCATCGTTACTTGTGTCACTGTTTATATAGGAACTAATAGTGTTACCAGCATTGTCTAGAACCTGTGTAACATAGTTTATAATATTCCCAAAATATTTTTGGTTAAACCAAACAATGAAGTAACATTAAAAAAAAAAAGTCAATTTTAGCAATTTATCCCAGGAAACAATTGTAAGCCTATTTCCTAATTATGCACATAAAAACATTTGCATCATTATGATGAATTTTCTAAGAGGATTTCATAGAGGATATTTGAATGTCTTACATTTTTTCATAACCTGGCAAATTGGTGCAGACGGTCATTTTTGTGACCCTGACATTGTTTAATATGTAGTGATATGTGACAGTATTGAATTGTAAAATGTTTAGATGTTTGATAAGCATCACAATGGTTAGGATTAGGATAGATAGAAAAAGGTCTGTCACCTCAGCTGTGGTTGTTTTGTCTCTCACCGGAGTAAGAATGGTGCTAAGAATGGTGCTAAGAATGGTGCTAAGAATAGTGCCACAAGTCAAGTGCTGTAAGAGCTGAAGGCTACTTTCTGTGAAAAGTAGACATTCTGTGAAAAGATGGGATCGTACATATTTGATAACAAAATTAGAAGATGCATTGTTTTTCCAGTTTATTGTGTATACAGTACCTTGAATCAAATATGCAACTCCAATAAATAGTAGTTTTCACTGGGTATAAATGTAATACCCAAAGGATCATCACAAACTGACCTTTATGGAAGAAACTGTTCCAAATGTCTCCTGAGTATTTGAGAGAGATCAACTGATGCTAATTTAAGACAATATTCATTATGCTCTCATACCATACGATACATCCAAATGGGGACAGTGTCTTAAGTATTCTTTAGTGGTCCCACATGTGATAAAGTTGCAATACAAATGTGATACACAATATCTTTGGCTTCCCCGTAGGTTCTTATTAGGACATAAAACAAATATAGCCTCTTGCTCATTCATGCAGACACTATTGAGATTGTTGACAAATGCATTGAGCCTCACTGTAATTTAAGTGGCAGATACCTTTTAACCTTTCAGCATCCAGCTGTAAAGAACCCTAATGTAGGCTCACGCTCTCAGATGGTTCTGCAGCCACTTCAGGATCATAAGAATATATACATTTTTTTTGTATAGATATTGTCATTCAAACAAATTAATCATTTTTTTTATTACGATATATTATTTTTAAGAATTACCTTGAAGTTAGGAAGAAGGCAAGTATTTCCATTATTGTTTTTGATTGGTTTATTTATGTTCATAGCAGTGTGCAGTTGAACCAGTATTTGTAATTATTGAATTGGTCATTTCTATAATATATTTAAATTAAATGTTATTTGCAGTATAAAAATATAAATCAAAGCGCATGCCTTTTGAAAATGTAGGGAAGAGTTTTTAAGGGACAGTTTACATATAGTTTATAGTTTACATACTGGTACTGCATAACAATGATTATGATAATAATGTAGTGTCTTAATTATTTAATAATTTAACATTTATTATTGATGAACTTATTAATATAGGCGTAACATTAATTAAATAAATGATGTATTATTATTATTTGTATTATTATATCATTTTTATTGGCCCATCCCCTCTTTGGAGGACAAAAGTAACTTTGTTTTACATTTTAGTTTTTACAGATTTTTTATTAGATATACTGTACATTTTACACACATTTTACATAAATAGTACTTTTATACACAGTAGTTACATAACAAACAAGTATATATTTTTATATACACTGAGTGTACAAAACATTAGGAACACCTGATCTTTCCATGACATTGACTGACCAGGTGAATCCAGGTGAAAGCTATGATCCCTTCTTGATGTCCCTTGTTAAATCCACTTCAATCAGTGTAGATGAAGGGGAGGAGACAGGTTAAAGAAGGATTTTAAAGCTGTGAGACAATTGAAACATGGATTGTGTATGCGTGCCATTCAGAGGGTGAATGGCCAAGACAAAATATTTAAGTGCCTTTGAACAGGGTATGGTAGTAGGTGCCAGGTGCACCAGTTTGAGTGTATATATACTATATACCAAAAGTATGTGGACACCCCTTCAAATTAGTGGATTCGACTATTTCAGCCACACCTGTTGCTGACAGGTGTATAAAATTGAGCACACAACCATGGCATCTCTGTAGAATAACATGGGCAGTAGAATGGCCCGTACTGAAGAGCTCAGTGACTTTCAACGTGGCACCGTCATAGGATGCCACCTTTCAAACAAGTCAGTTCGTCAGATTTCTGTCCTGCTAGAGTTGCCCCGGTCAACTGTAAGCGCTGTTATTGTGAAGTGGAAACGCCTACGAGCAACAAGTGGTAGGCCGCACAAGCTCACAGAACGGGACTGCCGAGTGCTGAAGTGCGTACTACGTAAAAATCGTCTGTCCTCGGTTGCAACACTCACTACCGAGTTCCAAACTGCCTCTGGAAGCAATGTCAGCACAAGAACTGTTCCTCGGGAGCTTCATGAAATGGGTTTCCATGGCCGAGCAGCCGCACATAAGCCTAAGATCACCATGCGCAATGCCAAGCGTCGGCTGGAGTGGTGTAAAGCTCGCCGCCATTGGACTCTGGAGCAGTGGAAACGCGTTCTCTGGAGTGATGAATCACGCTTCACCATCTGGCACTCCGATGGACGAATCTGGGTTTGGTGGATGCCAGGAGAAGGCTACCTGGCCCAATGCATAGTGCCAACTGTAAAGTTTGGTGGATGAGGAATAATGGTCTGAGGCTGTTTTTCATGGTTCGGGCTAGGCCCCTTGGTTCCAGTGAAGGGAAATCTTAATGCTACAGCATACAATTACATTCTAGACAATTTTATGCTTCCAACTTTGTGGCAACAGTTTGGGGAAGACCCTTTCCTGTTTCAGCATGACATTGCCCCGGTGCACAAAGCGAGGTCCATACAGAAACGGTTTGTCGATATCGGTGTCGAAGAACTTGACTGGCCTGCACAGAGCCCTGACCTCAACCCCATCGAACACCTTTGGGATGAATTAGAACGCTGCCTGCAAGCCAGGCCTAATCGCCCAGCATCAGTGCCCGACCTCATCAATGCTCTTGTGGTTGAATGGAAGCAAGTCCCAGCAGCAATGTTCCAACATCTACTGGAAAGCCTTCCCATAAGAGTGGAAGCTGTTATAGCAGCAAATGGGGGACCAACTCCATATTAATGCCCATGATTCTGGAATGAGATGTTCAACAAGCAGGTGTCCACATACTTTTGGCCATGTAGTATACAGTTGAAGTTGGAAGTTTACATACACCTTAGCCAAATACATTTAAACTAAGTTTTTCACAATTCCTGACATTTAATCCTGGTAAAAATTCCCTGTCTTAGGTCAGTTAGGATCACCACTTTATTTTAAGAATGTGAAATGTCAGAATAATAGTAGAGAGAATTATTTATTTCAGCTTTTATTTCTTTCATCACATTCCCAGTGGGTCAGCAGTTTCCATACACTCAATTAGTATTTGGCAGCATTACCTTTAAATTATTTAACTTGGGTCAAACGTTTCGGGTAGCCTTCCACAAGCTTCCCACAATAAGTTGGGTGAATTTTGGCCCATTCCTCCTGACAGAGCTGGTGTAACTGAGTCAGGTTTGTAGACCTCCTTGCTCGCACACGCTTTTTCAGTTCTGCCCAAAATGTTCTATAGGATTGAGGTCAGGGCTTTGTGATGGCCACTCCAACACCGTGACTTTGTTGTCCTTAAGCCATTTTGCCACAACTTTGGAAGTATGCTTGGGGTCATTGTCCATTTGAAGACCCATTTGCGACTAAGCTTTAACTTCCTGACTGATGTCTTGAGATGTTGCTTCAATATATCCAGATAATTTTCCTTCCTCATGATGCCATCTATTTTGTGAAGTGCACCAGTCCCTCCTGCAGCAAAGCACCCCCACAGCATGATGCTGTCACCCCCGTGCTTCACGGTTAGGATGGTGTTCTTCGGCTTGCAAGCAACCCCCTTTTTTCCTCCAAACATAACAATGGTCATTATGGCCAAACAGTTCTATATTTGTTTAATCAGACTAGAGGACATTTCTCCAAAAAGTACGATCTTTGTCCCCATGTGGAGTTGCAAACCGTAGTCTGGCTT